CCCCCGCCCTCCGAGCCGCCACCCCGTGACGCAACAGAACAGGCCTCATTTGCGAATGGGTTCGGCGCTCCGCTTCCACATCCTGCTCCTGCTATTCCTGTAGCAGCTTCACCTGCGGCTCACTGCCCTGTTGTTTCTGTACCAGCTTCACCTGCAGCCCACTGTCCTGTTGGTCCATGTTGCAGCCCCTGCCCGCTGTGGCCCACTGCCCTCTCGGTCCTGTTGCAGCTTCACCTGCCGCTCACTGTCCTGTTGGTCCTGTTGCAGCCCCTGCTGCGGCTCACGGTCCTGCTGGTCGCCGCGGCGCAGGGGCAGGGGCGGGTCCAGAGGGAGGCCCCGGACGAGGACGGGGCGCCGGCCGCTCCGCGCCTCGCCCCTCGCTATGACTTCTCGAGGTACTTCGGCTCGGACCCCGGAGGCGGCCTCGGGGCGGGGCTCGGCGGCAGGGCCAAGGCGGCCGCCTCTGAGCAGCAGGAGGACGGCGGGGAAGGTTTTGTGGACGCCGTCGACTTCAAGTCCTTCTTCGGTGGCAGCGGCTTTGGCGGGCAGCAGAAAAAGCAGCCGTTCTTCGGGTGAGTAGGACAAATTGTACACAAACATCAAAATTAAAAGGACCAAGGTCTCCCCATTGAAGGTAGAGAATGGCTGACTTCCTCGTAGCGTTCAGATGAACCGCTGAATGTAACCAGCTCCGCCGAGTAACCAAGCAATGCCTAGTTTGCTATCGGTTCGTCACCCACCGTGGCGGGCGCTCAACCACGAACAAGCAGACCGCCTTCAACGGGCCTTGAGCTTTCAGAAAGGAGAGGGAAAGGGAGGGGGGGGGGGGGTGAAGCAAGCCAAGGGGGAAGATTCAAACTTTCGGGAAACGTGAACCTATTTCTTCTCGGCGTGTGCCGGACAACTGTTCTCGCATTATTTTTGTTTTTTCTGTCACATTTATGTCGTATAACCTTGACCCGAATTGCCTAGTCGCTGCACTGACAAGGATACTCGGCGGTGGAACTAAACCCCTCCTGGCTGTGGCCTCTCTCTCTCTCTCTCCTCCGCAGCGCCAGCGCCCAGTCCGGTTCGCGACTGCCCTTCGGCTCCTTCGGCGCGGTGGCAGCGGCGTCCTCGGACGAGCAGGACGACTTCAGCGAGCTCGCCAAGGCCAAGCGGGGCGTGGGCGGCGGCCCCGCCGGCGCCTCCGGTAGGACGCGCGACGGTGCCGATGAGGACTTCTTCCACTTCGACTTCCCCGAGGGTGGCGGCGACAAGGCCGCCGACCTCCACGACGAGGACGCCGAGGACAAAGACGAGGCGGACGATGACGACCGGTCACCCGGTTTCTCGGCGGGGGCAGCGCAAACCAGGACGCAGCCGCTGAAGCAGGCCGGCAACTCGAGGTACCCGTCCTACTCCTCCTACTACCACACGCAGCCCGAGCAGCTGCGCGCTGCCGGCGGCGTCCAGGACCACGACGCGCTCGAGCAGGACGACGAGTTTGGCTTCGACGAGGACGAGCGTGGGGACGTCCGCGAGCCCTCGCGAGGCTCCGGCTCCACCAGCACGGCCAGCGCCGAGGCCTACGACAGCCGCCCGTTCCAAGACGCGCGCGGCGCGGGCAGCAGCAAGCTGGGCGGGCTCTCGTCGGGCTCCTCGGGGCCCGCCAGGTTCAACCTCCAGGGCGGCTTCGTGCCCTCCCCGGTCGACCCGCTGCGCACGCAGGCCACGCAGGCCGCGCATTCCTCCAAGGCCGCCAGCCACGCCGCCGTGCACGCCGCCGTCAAGGCCGCGCACCGCGCCGCCGCTAGCCACGGCAAGCCGGGCGCGGGCGCGGGGGCGGCGCTCTCGCTGGGGGCGGCCGACGGCGGCCTCGGCAGCAGGTCGCCCTACGTGCGCCGCACCCGCGAGGAGCCCGACGACGCCTTCTTCGAGTCCTTCACGGATGGCGACGACCGCGAAGACCGCGAGGCCGACGACTACAAGTTCAGCCCGGAGCACTTCGAGGAGGAGGATGACGGCAACGCGCAGCAGGCCACCGAGGCCGAGGGCGACGACGAGGGCGGGCAGAGCGCGGCGGCCAGCGCCGGCCGCTGCAAGAAGGTGGTGAAGAAGGGCGCGGTGTGCACGGTGTGTGCGGACCCCAAGACGGGCGGCAACTACGAGCAGTGCCAGTACGCCACGGAGCCCGAGACGCAGTCCTACTCGTTCGGCCGGTCCTCGTCGTACGGCAACCCGCGCCCCAAGAGCAGGCGGCGCCGGCGGCGCGAGGAAGGCCGGCAACAGCAGGACTCGTCGCAGGACACGTCGCAGGACTCATCGCAGGACACGTCGCAGGACGCCCAGGATGTGCAACAGCAGGAGACGGCGCAACAGAAGGACGCGGGCGCTGAAGGGAATATTGACGCGTTCGGAGAGGCGCTGAAGGACAG